TATTGAGCCTGCTGTTGCATTGGGAAAAAAAAAAGGAAAACACTCATTCACATAGAATTTAAGCTCTTGACTGCCTATAATATATAATTAAATGTAGACTCCTGGCTGCAGTCTGGCATTCTGAAAACAATGAGGGCTTACCAGGGAGCGCCTCTGGCTCAACACAAACTGTCACCCCTGCCAGGATGACGCAAAGCTCTGCTCCTGAGGTCACTGCGGTCATCCTTTTCCCCACATGAGAGCACCATGTGGAGAGGCAGGGTGGGTAATCTGAGTGCAGAGAGGTCAAATGAAGGCAGGGGGGCAAATCCCTTAATTCCCTCCTCTCCTCCCCCATGTGCCCATTCTGGTCAGTGTCTTCCTGTACACAAGAATCAAAAGGCTTCTCCGCCCCGCGCCGGAGCCAGTCTCACTGCACATCAGGAAGCAGCTCTTCCTGCTGCCTTCGTGGTGCAGGATCAGGCAGGTCCCAGTGTAACCAATAAATTACCAGCCTCATCGGCCAGTTCTTTTATAGGGGAATGTTGAGGGTGTTACAGGAGACACGGGAAAGTTCAGCAGGTTTTGGCATTCTCGGATCTATTATTCACATTTTCAGCTATCATTTGAATTCTGAGCTATGGGGAAGGGCCACAGTTCCGTGAGACCAGGTATGAATTGCCTATCTACTTAGCAAGTATAGGGCACCCGTCTCCTCCATCTTTGACCCAGCAACTGCATCCTAATAGGCATTCTTCACTTAGCCCCATATTTGCTTTTGGAATAATTTAAGACTTTGAGGATTCTGGCAACATATCTCTTAAGAATGGCAAGGGCTACAGTGAAAGGTATGATCTAATTAGAACATATTCTTAACAAGTGCTAAGTACAAAATGAGAGGTACACAGCATTAAGTAGTAACATTCTCCAGAGGAAAGGAGTGTTCTAATCCTTATGGGAGTTGGAGAAGCTTCAGGAAACAGATGGGACTTGACTTGGACCCTGGAGCAGTCTGTGAGCAGGGGAAGGGTCAGATGGACAGCAAGACTCCAGGGCAGGAAGAGCTTGAACAAGGGAGCAGAGGCAGGAAGCTGCAGAGTGAGGGGGTGAGAAGCTGCTTGACTCAAGTGAGTGAGTGGTCTGTGCTGGGAAGCAGTGGGAGGCAAGATTGAAAGGGTAGACGTGGGGTAGAGCTGGGGAGGATTTTGAGCTTTA